CTTGAGCGAGAATTTTTTTTAATTTACATTTTTTTAATTAAAAAATAAAATCATATGAGGCATACACACATAAAATACTATTCAGCCATGAGAAAAAGGGAAATCCCACCATTTGCAACATGGATGGACCCTGAAAGACATTATGCTAAGCGAGATAAATCAGACAAAGTATTTATCAAAGGCAAGTAGAGTATGATATCCATTATATGTGGGATCTTAAAAAAAAAAAAAAAAAAAAGACTGGGCCCTGGCTGGTGTAGCTCAGTGGATTAAGCACGGGCCTGCAAACCAGACAATTGCAGTTTGATTCCCAGTCAGGGCACATACTGGGGGTGCAGGCCAGTTCCCAGCAGGGGACGCATGAAAGGCAACCATACATTGGTGTTTCTCTCCCTCTCTCCTTCCCTTCCCCTCTAAAGATAAATAAATAAAATCTTTAAAAAAAAAAAAAAAAAGACTGGTGGTTGCCCGAAGAAAGGGGGAGGAGTGTACAAAAATGGGTAAATGTGGTCAAAAGGTACAAGCTTCCAGTTAGAAAATAAGTCCTGGGGACGTAATAAATAGTAATGTGGCCATAATTAGAGTAAATCTTCAGTTCTCATTCACAACGAATTCTTTTTTGTAACTATGTGTGGTGATAGATGTGAACTAGATTTGTTGTGGTGATTATTTTGCATATTTGTCCACATGAAATGAATGTCAGCTGGATTTCAATAATATATTAAAAAGTAAACTCCAAAAAACCGGGTGAAATGGTAATTACCAGGAGGTGAGGGAATGGGTATTTAAGGATACATATTTGTAAATAGCAAGTCAGTCCTAGAGATCTAAAACATAATACAGTGGTTATAGACAAAAAACAAACAAATAAACCCTGTATTATAAACATTAAACTTGTTAAGAGGTATTTAACTGTTTCCACAACCAGAAGAAATGATAATTATATGATGTACTAGAGGTATTAGCTAATACTACAATGGCAATAATGTTGCAGTAAAAAAGCATCAAATCAGTATGTTGTACATCTTAAAGTTACACAATGTTATATGTTGATTATCTTTCAAGAATAATTATCCTAACCCTGGACAGCGTGGCTCAGCTGGCTGGAGCATCATCTTGTAAACTAGGAGGTCACGGGTTCCTAGGTATCCATTTGGTCCTCAATCCCCAGTTGGGGCAGATATAAGAGGCAACCAATTAATGTTTTTCCCTCCCCCTCTCTCTAAAATCAATAAGCATGTCTTTGGGTGAGGATATATATACCCATGTTCATTTTTAAAGTCACTGCCCCCCCCCCAATAAAAAAGAACATTTACCACTGTGGCTGGTGTGGCTCAGTGGATTGAGCACTGGCCTGGGAACCAAAGGGTCACTGGTTCAATTCCCAACAAGGGCACATGCCTGGGTTGCAGGCCAGGTCCCCAGTAGGGGGTGCAAGAGAGGCAACCACAAATTGATGTTTCTCTCCCTCTCTCCCTCCCTTCTCTTCTACCTAAAAATAAATAGAATCTTTAAAAAAAAGAGCATTTACCTTTAAAAATTTAAAGTTAAATTTTTAAGTGCACTAAAAAGGTCTTAAATGTATTATGTTATATATGCAAATGAGGTTTCTATGTAGCCTTTTTAAGCATAAAACCAACATAAATCTGATTATAGAAACAAGCTCAAGTTCATTAAACTCTGAAAATATTTTTAATAAAAACATTTACTATTATTATCCCTTATTTTATCAGGATTATATAAAATGTCCCAAACAATCCCCTCTAGTTTACTCCATTACACCATATAAACATCATCTGCTAAATGTAGCCCTCCTATTAATTCAAATATTTGATACTATATACATTAGATGCTATAAAAACCACCAAAGTAAACACTCAGTTGAAGCACCTAATAAAATAAGTATAGAATTTACAATATTATGTGACTAAGGTAACTGTGTGTAAGAATGGGGACGAGAGGCAAGCTATTCAATATACTGATTCCTGCCCTGGCTGGTACCTGGCTGGTACCTGGTTGTGAGTCAAGGGGTAGCCATAAATTCCCAATCTACAGCACACGCCTAGGTTGTGGGCCAGGTCCACAGTGGGGGGTGTGTGAAAGAGGCAACCAGACATTCGTGTTTCTCTCCTTCTCTTCTCTGTCCCTTCCCCTCTCTAAAAATAAATAAAATCTTTAAAAAAAAATGCTGATTCCTAAGAACTACCCTACATCAAAAGAATCAAAATTCTTGGGGAAAGAGAATAGGACATGGTATTTTGAACTCACTCTGCAGGTGATTTTAGTTTATTTTAATGTTTGAGAACCACTTTAATAGCTCTGGGAAATGTTTAAGAAAAGTACACTGAATCTTGAAGCAATCACTAAAAAATAAGTTAGAAGGACCGCAAAATCTCTATGGGGGAAAATCAGGTTATAGGAAAGCATCCTGTGTATGTCTTTATAGCTCAGTGGATTGAGCACGGGCCTGCGAACCACGCAATTGCGGTTCGATTCTCAGTCAGGTCACATGCCTGGGTTGCAGGCCAGTTCCCAGCAGGGGACTCACAAGAGTCAACCACACACTGGTATTTCTCTCCTTCCCTTCCTTTCTAAAAATAAATAAATAAAATCTAAAAAAGAATAAAAGCATATATTCAAGGGCATAATGGTCAACAAGTAGTAAATCAGTTTCAATAAAAACTCTGCCAAGGATAAAAACAAATGGATCAGGAGTTGACTTGCTTCATAATTATGTCACTGCACTTTAAACAAGCATTTTATTCATGTATTTATTAAATGAAACTTTAACACTAACTTTTAAGGAGCATTTAGTAGCCTGTGTGGTTATCTTCAGAATTTTACAAGAATTAATCCAATCCATACATCAGTATAGTTCAAAATATTACAAACAGACCCCCCTTTTTAAAGATTATATTTATTTATTTTTGGAAAGAGGGGAAGGGAAAGAGAGGGAGAGAAACATCATTGTGTGGTTGCCTCTCATGCACCCTCTACTGGAAACCTGGCCTGCAACCCAGATATATGCCCTGACTGGGAATCGAACCAGTGACCCTTTAGTTTGCAGGCAAGCACTCAATCCAATGAGCCACACCAGCCAGGGCAAATCCCTATTCTTAAAAGTGGAAAAAGTGAAGAGAGCCAGAAAGGCATGCTTACTCCAAAATCAGATATGCTACCACCACCCTGACCACCACTGCAATTGTGTGGTTCAGTGTGGCTCAGTTGGTTAGGCACCATCCTGCAAAACAAAAGTATACCCAGTCTGTGGACTGGTTAATTCTTGGTCATGATACAAGCCTGAGTTGCAGGTTTGGTCTGGGTCAAGGTGCATAAGAGAGGCAAGGGAAGGGAAGGGGGAAGGGAGGAAGGGGGAAGGGAGGAAGGGGGAAGGGGAGGAGGAGGGGGGAGAGAAGAGAAAAGAAAGTTACCATCCTGGACAGGTAGTTCTGTGCCATCCCAATATACCAAGATTGCAGGTTCAATCCCCAGTCAGGATTCATAGAAGTATCAACCAATGCATAAATAAGGGGAACAACAAATCGATGCCTGTCTCCCTCGCTCTCTAAAAATAATTTTTAAAAATAAGTTACCAAGTTCTTGTTTGAAATCAACAGAATACTGTATTCAGAAGCATGTTCCCAGTAGTATTTGCAAAATTATCAAGCTATGCAGTACAGAAGATACACGACTAAAAAATAACGGGGAGTGTCCTTAGCTACTTTAAAAATAACTGCACCAAGAGAAAACTCAAATATCTGTCAGAATTCAATTTATAGTGCCAAAAAACATTTTAAAACTTAAGTTGCTCCATTCTTTGCACATCTCTCAACAAAAGTGTAAGTTTCATTACACTGAGGTTAAATAATGACCACTCGTAATTATTTAACAACAACAAAAAAAGACCATCTTTTTGTCAGGTTAGAGTTTTATATAAATTTTCACGCTGAAGAAATGAATAACTCAAATTTTGTGTCTTATCCTCTAAAAATTACTATGGAAAAAAACCCGTTATTTGCTTTGGTCACAACTAGAAAATTTTATCCAATAAAAACATTGGGATTATTTTGCAAGGTAATATATGTCAAGTCATTATGCTGTACACATCTTAAATTTATGTGGTGCTGTATATCAACTGTATTTGAATACTGGGAAGGGATCATATTTAGGAGTAAAGAAAAAAATCTCCTTAGGTAGCTCACGGAATTGCCAATGTATAAACAGATTAACTGTAGATTTATGGAGATAGTCATGATGTTCTAAAAAATTCAATCCACTAAATGAAAGTGAATCCAGAACTACAAGATCAATCACTCAACATTTTAGCTGCATGACAAACTGTCTTTTAAAAAAACAAGTGGGTGACCACACAGAGAATTCTGACTTTTTTGATGATCACATTCGTAGATCTTTCTTTTCCCTCTATTGATTTCAAGCAGTTTGGAAGATAGAATGAACATCAGAGCTAGAGTAGAAAAATCCAATTTGGCCTTAAACTAAGTCACCTCACTTTCCTAGACTTTTGCTTCCTACAGGATGTTACAATTCTATATGACTACCTTTCAAAGTTCACCCATTTAAACATGTCAACACAATTATGAGTACAAAACTCCAAGAAAAAGTGTGTGCTGTCAAAGAACAAAATTCAGGGTATACTCATTTCCAAGAATATGATGGAATGTAACAAAGGAAGTATTATTCAATTAACATTCAGAGCAACTGTATACATGTTTGGGGGAAGGGACAACTCCTTGCCCACCATAAGATGAAACAGAAAACTTACAAGGCAATATATATGGTATAACTAAGTGAAACTGGCCAAAAAAATTAATTTTGCTTAATAACATCAGAGAAAATATTTACAGACAGTAAATTTGAGTTTGAACTTTTATAACAGATGTTTTGATAGATACAAACATTGATATTCCAGATAAAAGGAGTGAAGATGTACTTGGAAGCTTCTGTGTAACAGTCTTTTGACTAAAGCATGAAATACTAACATGCTGTCTGAGGTAGGAAGGAATGAACACACAACTCCAGGCTAAGTTGTGTGTTCTGAACTTCTGAGCAGAGGATGGTTATTTTTCAAACCAATAATTTAAGTGGCAAGTTGGTAGTAAAGAACTGTATTCCACAATCATTTACAGTTAGGATGCATTCACATGTTGACATAAAAGAAAAAATCCAACAAACAAATACGGGGAAGAGAGACTGGAGATTAATTAGGAAGCTGCTGTGAAAAGGACAAAGAGTCTAAAACCAAAGGGTAACTATTCTGATGGGTCTACATAAAATTTAAAAAGTGACACTGTGCCCTGGCTAGGTAGCTGAGGGGCTTAGAGCGTCATTGCCAATATGCCAAGGTTGCAGGTTTTATCACCAGTCAGGGCACATACAAGAAGCAACCAATGAATGCATAAATAAGTGGAATAACAAACCGATGTTTCTCTCTCTAAAACCCATAAAATTAAAAATATAAAAGGGAAAATGTTGACCTTTTAAGATGAAGCTTAAGAACAGTAAAATGGTATTTTTCAAAATATATTTTTATTCTATTCTGTATTTCCTTTCCCACCCACTTGGTATTGCATACAATTCAGTCCAACAGCTTAAAAAAAAAAAAAAACCCTTCTCATTCAACATTTCAGGACTATCTTTCTAACAACTATAACAAAATTAACCAAGACAGTCTATCCTGGAGGTTTTGCTAACCCTTCCAGCCTTAAAGACAGAAATGCATTTCTTAAATCTACACTCTACACTCCCAAAGGCTGCATTTTCTTCAATCTCCACTCAGGTGTCAGATAAAATCTACACTTCCAATTATTAACTTCTTAAACAATGCTTTTCAAAGAACAATGTGTTTTATTTGCTTTGCTTTGATATGAGTGAAAAGTATACTGAAATCAACTACTGTTTATACATAGGGCACAACAGATTTTGAGCCCACTTTAGCTCTGAAACACGTTTCTTAAAAACTGTGCAAACAGAAAAGGAATTGCAGGATTTTTCTATATACAGTATTAAGGTCTTAAAACTCAGTGGAATGCTATCTTAAAAGTGCGCAGCAGGAAGTTCAATTTGGTCAAAAGGCCATTTAAGAAATGCTCTGGCTAATATTTTTTAATGACATGTTAAGTTAGCTTTGTTTTTTTATATAACACGCCACATTCATAAAACATAATATTTTTAAATGATGGGCCACAATTTTTGTTAATTCAAGAAGCACAAAGATCTTACAAAAATTAATGTCTTAGAGTATTTGAGCATTCGATTAGAATTATTGTGGACAAATTTCCTCCCATGGCATTGAGTGCCAAAGATTTGTTATGTTGTAGAATAAAATGAAATAAAGATTCAAGGTCATAAATTTAAGCTAGTTAAAAAAAGAAAGCTTTCCATAGCTAGACCTGCACCTCACAAAAAAAACACACACACACACACAAAAAAACCACACTTGGAAAAAATAACATACAACAATCTGAGATAAGCTTCAAGCAAATTTTGAAGAAATAAGCATTTCCTCTTCTGTCCTGCAGGTGTTTTGTTTTGTTTTGTTTTGTTTTGTTTTGTTTTGAATGACTTAATGCAAAGTTAGGAGGATGTCCCAGTACCAAGCCTGAAGAGATCCGAGTGGAAGAGATGGGATTTAAACCGCCAGCAGAAACTTAGAGACTGGAAGAAACCGAGCCAGGGATCCATCGGAATGAGTTCGAACCGAGAGGGTTTCACTGCTGCTCTGCCTTGCCCCAAAGCGCTGCCTTCAAACTTCTAAGATTACAATTTTAGGCAAGAAAGGGAATGTCAGTTATTAATGGCCACGGCTTTGTGCCTTGACTTTAAACTTCCGCTTCCACTACAGGACCCGGGACCGACTCACACTTGTTGAAAACTGACAAACTGCCCTGGCTGGTGTAGCTCAGTGGACTGAGCAGGGGCTGCGAACCAGGGGGTCACGGATCGACTCCCAGCCAGGGCACAGGCCTGGGTTGCGGCCCCCTCCGCAGTGGGGGCATGTGAGAGGCAACCGCACACTGACGCTTCTCTCCCTCTAAAAGTAAATAAACAAACAAATCAACAAAACCAGAAAACTGACAAACTCTCCCAACAAGCTGCCGTTTAGTCAGCGCACAGCGCCGGGCCCCAGCTGGACGTCCCCCGGCTCCTGTCGTCCCCCGGCGTCCCCAGCCCCGGCGACGGCCCGCGGCGCCCCGACTCTGTCGGACCGCGGCCACGCACCCCACTCGCAGCCGAAGCGCGGCGCCGCCAGCCCCGGGGAGGGGCGGAGTGCCAGCGCGGCCCGACGCCTGCCCGCACACCTCCGCGACAACGGGGTTCTTCTCCGTCCGCCGGCCCTGCTCCCTTACGTCCCACCTGCCCCCCCTTCTCCCACCCTCTACTCCACTCCCATCGAACAGGTTGTCAGAAAGGAAACGTCGGAATTTCCCTTCACAAAAAGCACTCGGTCCACTCATTCGTGGGACTGTTAACAGAACCCCCCTGCAGGGCAAGCGAACTTGGAGACACGAGCGGCGGGGGCTGCAGGCAGAGCCCGACCGCCGCGGAGTCCCGAGCGCGGCGACCCCGCAGCGGGCGACGTCGGGGGACCTCCCCTCCCGAGGTCTCCCCCGATCGCCTCTCACGCCCGCGGCCGCCCAGCGCTTTCTCTTTTCCTCGGCGGCAGAGCGCGCCCCGGGGGGCGGGCGGGGGGAACCCCGAGAGCGACCCTCTCGGTGCCCGCGGCTTCGCGGCCGCCGCCGGCCGCTCGGCTCCCCGGGGGACACTTCGCGCGGCGCGGGGAGAGTGTGAGCGCCCGGGCGCGCGAGGAACAAAACCCGCGGCCCGAAGTCCTGAGGAAGCGCCCGCGCCCGCCCCTCCCACCCGCGGGCACCCGAACGGCCCGGGCTGCCAACGTGCCGGGGCCGGGGGCCGAGCCCCGGGAGCTAGGCCGCGGGGGTCGCCGCCCGCGCCCGGGAGTCCCGGCAGGAAAGGGCAGTTGAGGAGCTCGCGGGGTCTCCGGAGGCTGCAGCCCGCGCGAAGCGAGGCCCGGCCGCCGGAATTACCGCCACCGGCGCCCTCCGAGTCGCCAGGCCCGGCCCGGGCCACCGGGTGGCACCCCGCGCTCTGCCCTGCGCTCCTTGGAGCCCTCGCCCCGACCTCTTCTCCTCAGAGCCCGAAGACTCCGCCCGCCGGGAGGAGAGTCCGCCCTCGTCCGCCTCGCCACTTCCCCGTCCCGACTGCCCCTCACTCCGCGGAGCTCCGGCAAACGCTCCCCACGGCCCCAGGACCACCCCCGCCGCTTCCCTCACCCGCACCCGCGTACCGCGGCTGACGCCGCCAGACCGACCCAGCCCCTGACCCCTGCCCACCTCACCTCAGGCGGCTCCGGCGGCGCTGGACACAGGAAACTCCTGGGTCCCCCGACTCCGGCTCTCCTCAACCCCCTCTTCGGTTAACTCCGCTTGTTTCTCTACAAAATGGCGCCGGAGGTCGCGCGCTCACGTCGCGGCCTTTCCCCTCCCCGTTCTCATTTCATCATTTGCTGCCCGCCCGAGGAGGGATGGCCCACGCACCAGCCAATGACTGTGAACCGCCTATATCCCCCACCCAATCACCATCAGGTGCCCGCGGATTTAAACCAATCACACACTATCACTTGCAGAAGTCAAGGAAGAAACCAGGCTCTTGCTCGCTCGCAACTACCAATCCGAACTCCCACTTCGCAGACATCGGCCAATTGCGGCTCACGAGTCCCTAGGGACTGGATCGGAGCCTTCGCGCCTGCGCTCCAGCGAGGACCAATGGGGAGATGCACATAACTTCGATTTGGGGTTTCACGGACTTCCCACCTGCCCCGGAGGTCCTACCAATGGGGGCTTAGCATTGCCCCTAAGAAACAATAAACAAGGGAGGGGCCCATAAACCCTCGCCACTCTGCGCTGGAACTATTTTGAAGTTAGACTTAAATAGCCTTCCTTCACTCTCCTACCTCTTTCGAAGTGTCAAGTCCCGTAGACTGCGGGGCTTCCCAAGCTTAAACATTCCATGCCCCTCCCCTCGTGTCCCCTGGGCGTGGAACACCAAGCATCAGAAAGCAAGCCAGCAAGTAACTTAAGTGGTGACGCTCTGCATCCCGGGATATATAGTGTTTCCCCACACACACCCCCAACCCGCCCCACTTTTGTCGCAAAAGTAATGCATCTTCTTCCGTCACTTACGGCGCACTAGGAGGAGTAGTGCGTGCTGGGAAATGTAGTCTCCTACGCGCCACTTTCAACAAGACAACTTTTTCTTCTACCTATTGAAGAAGGATGTGTTACAGAGGCTGGAAGCTAGGGTTTTCTCTTTTGGTTTACGACTTGTACTTGGTATCGGAAACGATACCTGAGGCCTTTACGCTGGGGGGGGGGGAGCGGAGCACAAAAGCCTACCTTTTGCTGTAATGTATTATGTATAGTCGATCCTAAGATTTTTATGGTCACCTGGTCCCAGAGGAGGGATGCAAACACGGGGAAGAAAGAGTGGACCGGTTGCCTCTCTAAACTTTTGAAAAAACCTATCCTCCTCACCCTGTTCTAAGACTAGGCGCAGAAGCACTACCTTTGTGCCTAAAAATACCGTGTGTGTGTGTGTGTGTGTGTGTGTGTGTGTGTGTGTGTGTGTTAAAAACGCAACAGACCTTAGCGGGGTAACTTGGTTAGATCGCGGTGGAGTACACAAAGGTGATGTGCTTAGATCCCTCCCTGGTCTGGGCACATGCAAGCATCAACCAATGAGTGCATAGATAAGCGGAAGACCAAATCAATGTTTCTTTCTCTCCCTTCCTCTCTCTCTCAAATCAATAAATTAAAAAAATTTGAAAAAGCACACACAACATAAAATTTCCTCTTAACCATTTTTAAGTATTATCGTACATTAGTGTTAACTATATGGCTGAACTTTTTCATATTCTAAGACTAACTTTATATTCATGAAACAACTCATTTCCTTTCTCCAGTCCCTGACACCCGTGGCTCTACTTTCTATTTCTAATAGAAAGAGTTTGACTACTTTGGAGACATCATTTAAGTGGAATCATGCACTATTTGTCTTTTTTTGTGACTGGCTTATTTCACTGAAATATACTTTTTGACACCTGCCTTTCCTTGGTTAGAGGCCAATTATTTCAGTAAACATTTACTGAGTGTCTTGTGTTTTTAAGCAACTGAATGAGACCCAGGGACCCCCAAATATAGCAAGGGCAAGGATTGCTTCAGTCTTGTTCTCAGCTGTATTCCTAGCACCTGGCACCATGCCTGACCCACGGTAGACATGTGAGCAAATAAATGTTGAAAAAATCAAGAGAAATGGACTCACAGCATTATAATGTTAGTGGTAAAAGTCTTCTTAAACAGACCAAGGATGAGGCCCATCTATTCATTGTTGTATGAAATTTATGAAATTGCTAATGCCCCTATAGATAGTAGGATTTTGGCCAAGCTTATTAAAACTGAAAATTCACAGACCCATTGACTCAGTAATTCCATGTCTAGGAATTTATCCCACGGTGAATGTTGCAAATCCATACAGAGATGAATATATCAAGATATTCACTGATTCACTGTTTATGGGACCTCAGAACATTGGAAGTAATAAGGAACGTGTTAAATAAATGCATGGTGCAGTCATTCAGAGGAATGCTGTGAAGTTTTTTTTAAAAGAGTGAGGTAAACCTATGTTTACAGATACAAAATGATGCCAAGATTTTAAAAGATGGAATAATTAGTATGTTACCATTCATGTAGGAGAAAATAACTACATTTACATATAACTCAATCCATAAAAAGGTTTGGAAAGATGCATGTGCACTCCACAGCTGACACTAATTGTTAACCCTGAGAAGGGAACTGGAATGAGGAAGGATAAGGAGAACTTTTGCTTTTTATTCCATATATTACTATCTTACTGGAACTTTTTACAAAAAGGATGTATTCATTTTTATTTGTATAATTTCAGACATTTCTTTTAAAGACACAGAATGTGATACCCATAGATATCAACAGTCCAAGGTCAACTCCAATTCTACTCCACAACCAGTTCAGGTCTCAAACGTCTATCTCCTAAAATAAGATAATTTGAAACAAAGCTGAGTGGGCTTTCCCCACTTTAGCCTGTCTCTGCCAGAAAATGGTTTGCTACCTTATACGGAAGCTGCTCCCAGAGACCTTTGAGGCCCCTGCCAGCCCCTCCCCCAGGACTGCACCACCAACACTCCCAGCATTTGACCTCACTTGGGGCCTTAACCAAATACTTTTGGGATTCCACAATAGCCTGGAGATCAAAGTCCTTCAACAGTGTGTTAAGAAGTCATGGTGGCTTGTACCCCTGATAGAAAGCAGGAGACTGCCACAAACTGGAAGGGGCATGGAGATCACCTGCCGCTCTTATCTTATTTTACTGAAAGACATGGTTGGAAATCATGCCAGACAAACTATTTCACTACAGACCTTCAGAAAGGATTCACTGAATCACGTTGTAACTCGGCAATTATGTGCCCTAGCGTTCAAATGTATTTAGAAACAGGATATTTCAGCCAGCTGTTAATTACTCACCTGGCCTCCTGCCTTAACCTTCTTCCAGTCTTCCCTCTGCCCCACCCCCAATTAGTTGTGCATCCAAGATTCTGGAAGAACTTGACAAACTCTTTTAAGAATAACGAAGGCCTTAGTGAATTGGTTTGGGGTGCAGGCAAAAATACATAGAAGAAAAAGGACTTTGAGATCTGTGCAAAGTATGTTATACAGTGTTTGAAGGTGCTGGGGAGACGGGTGGTCAGAAATAAAAGGCTTTATTATTCCTTGTTCCTGTTTTCAGTCCCATTTTATCAGATGAGTCAGAAACTACGATTTACAATGGCTTTGACTACTTTACACAAAGTAGTAACCAAAGCCACTCATTGACAGCCTAACTCTGAATTGTCATGTCTTTCAAGGCCATTTCCACAGCCATGCCTCCTGATTCCCTGGGCCACTAGGCTTTGGTATGACTTCTGTGGCTCTATGCTGAGGAGAGTATGTCTCGGCATGCACATTGCAAAAAGCCTATTGAGAAATCCCAAATCCCGAGTTGTTACGCGGACTGTGACCCTATGTTTCTGTCTAACCTTGGAAAAGTGACTTCCCCTCCCTGGACCTCTTTTACCCTCTTCACTAATCTGATGATATTGGACCAGCATTTCGTGGCTCCCAGATTGTGAACTGTGAACTTCTAGGATGATGAGGACTTAGTGTGGGGCCCTGGAATTTTTCTGCTTTAAATCAACCAATATTATCTAAAAGTACAACTTGACTTACTTTATCTCACCCACAACTCAGGACTCTGTGACCTGGGGATGGAGTTATATTCCCAATTTCACAAATCATAAAACTGAGGCTGAGAGAGGCTGCCTCACCTGCCCTGGGTCCCATACCTAGCCAATGCAGAGCAAGTGTTGCAACCCAAGCTGACTTTAGAACTCACATTCTCAGCCACCTCACTCCAAGCTGTGCTTGGGAAACCCCCTGCCAGGGTGACCTCCCAGCTGTCGTGTTCAATGGCCCATTAGTAACCAGACAGTTTCCAAACCAAGAAACATGATGCATAGTGTAACAGGGTGTTATAGGTTAGTGAGACAGGTTCTGAAAATACTGCTGCGTGTTTGGTGTTTACCAACTGAGTTTACATTTGAATTCTTTTTCAATTTTTTCCTTTTTAAAAAAAGATTGTATTTATTTCTTTTTAGAGAGGGGGGGTGGTAGGGAGAAAGAGGGAGAGAAACACCAATGTGTGGTTGTCTCTTGTGTGCCCCCACCTGGGGACCTGGCCCGCAATCCAGGCATGTGCCCTGACTGGGGATCAAGCCAGCAACCTTGGTGTATCAAGACAACCCTCTAATCTACTGAGCCATCCAGCCAGGGCTACATTTGAATTCTTACATTCTGTCTTGAAAAAGGAGAGTGGGATATACCCCAGGAGAAGCAGATTGGGGGGCGGGGGATTGGGAGGCTCCAGCCTCTGGGAAACCCTCCCAGCTGCTGAGGAAGATCACAGGAAGGAAGGAACCCGAGCAGGCCCGTGTTGGGGTACCAGGGGTCCGAGCTGAATGCAGAAGAGACATCAGCCAACCCAGACTAGCTGTCTTGTTAGCATAATCTCTGTAGAACAGTGGTTCTCCAAGAACAGACTCCTGACCAGCAGCAGTACCATCTGGGAAGGTCACAGAGTGGCAGAGAGGGGGTACATTCCAGCAAAGCCTTCCGGAGATGATCTCCGAATCTTCCTGGCATCTTTGAAAAGCAGAAAGACCAGGATGGC